AGTTCTAAATTTTTCTTAAAATAAACCCTGTCATGAACTTGCTCTCACCAAGGCATGTGGTACAACACGGTGACTCAACGCATCAAGACATGCGCAAAGCGTAATGGGGCCAGAGTGCTCAAACGACCAGAAGGGAAGCGAGTGCGCAAACGATATATATATATATATATATATATATATATATATATATATATATATATATATATATATATATAAAGATAAAATAAACCTGGTTTACTTCATAAGATTTATTCACTACAAACTTGTTTCGTATGACAAGCAATGCTTGCCACACTCATCAGGTGAATTTAAATAATTAAATAATTTAAATTTAATTAAATAATTAATTTAAATAATTATTAATAATTATTAATTAAAAATAATAATAATTATTCATAATTATTAATAATATAATATTATAATATTATTTCATATAATATATTATATATTATATAATATTATTAATATTATATAATATAATATTTATATTATTAATAATTATTAATTATTATTAATTATTAATTAAGTAATTATTATTTAATTAATAATTAAATAATTTTTTTTAATTTTTTAAATTCACCTGATGAGTGTGGCAAGCATTGCTTGTAATGAAACAAGTTTGTAGTGAATAAATCTTATGAAGTAAACCAGGTTTATTTTATCTTTATCTATATTAGCTCTATACTTCGGTATATCGAGCACTCTACTCGTATGTGATTCTAAATACATATTTGGTATATATATATATATATATATATATATATATATATATATATATATATATATATATATATATATATATATATATATATATATATATATATATTTTATCTTTATCTATATTAGCTCTATACTTCGGTATATCGAGCACTCTACTCGTATATGATTCTAAATACATATTTGGTTTTATATATATATATATATATATATATATATATATATATATATATATATATATATATATATATATATATATTTTATAGAGATAAAATATATAGAGAATTAATAATAGTAAAAAATAAAGATTGGTCCCAATTTTGTTCCTTGCGGTGCACCAACTTTAACCGCTAGGCAGTCCAAGGTGTTGCTACAAAGTCTTACACATGCACTGTCTACGGTTAGACAGAAAACTTATAATCCATGGGATGAAAGCTAGTCACGCCAGATTTCGTGCGGCCGCCAAGGTAACCTTTATACAACCGGCCCTTGTACGCGATTATATGTCCGAGGCACATGATTTTATTTGCCCGGATCAAACGACGATGAGAGTGTGTGAGAGTTGGCAGTCACGCAACCTTGGTTATAGCTGCTCATATAGCTTTCTATAGCAGCCCAATCGCGAATTTGTTGCGAAAAATTTAGAATTTCGTTTCGGGCTGCGAGCATTGCTAATTTTAATTTATAAACTTTGCCGATGAAACAGTACATTTACATAACAGGACAAAAACAAACGTACATAATGAAATGCAGTACATGACCACGGCTGGGTGACCGCAACAACGAATAGCCAATTACTGCGGGCCTGACACAAATCTATCATTACATACACATACATACGTTACAGGTGTGATCTTCTTTACAGTTCAACTGCAACACGATATTGGACCTAACAGGCTTCGAATACAATTACATTTCAGACATATACTCTTAAATGTTCGAGAGTTTTCAGGATCATAATTAATGTTCAGTGATAAAGTAATTATCCAAATTAGTGAGGTTCAGTTCATCTGCAAGATAATTCCATACTCGGCTCACTCTTACGAGGAAAGATTTTTGGTAGGTGGTAGTTCTGCATTTAGGGATGACATATTTCAATCTGTTTGATGAGGTTGATCGGGTTGTTCTACGAGTGGCGAGGATATATAGCTGGCGACACTTGGAAATTTA